TCCGTGGGCGTCATCTATTGACAATTTCCATATTAAACCGATATGTTTAAAATTTTTTATTAATTCACTTCAAAATAACAACAATAAATCCTTTAGGTAGTATCATAAATAACATGTTTTCATTTAAAAATTTTCCCAAATCCATTATGTGCAAAGTTTAACAACGGATTTTGCTACTTAACCAGATACTTTAATTAATGTTAGTCTGAGGATATCAGTTTTCAAAGAAGCAGAATTAAACATCCTTAATTCGAGTTAAATGTAACTGAATCATTTTGATGACACAGACAGCATTTCAGGGTCTTGGCTTTTCTCTTTCCCGTCAACCCCTCTCTCAGTCACACGCTCCCTTAGTGCATCCTGGCCACGGACACCCAGCAAAAAGAAAATCAGAGTAAACAGAGTGGGAAATCATCTACTTATAAACACCACTTAGCTTTCCCACAGTGTCACCGGCTCAGGTCCCACCTGGCCAGGCCCCACCTGCCTGGTCTGTGCCTCTGCCTCCCCTCTGGCCTCCCCACAGGAGGAAGAGTCAGAGCCCCCGGGGCTGGCACTCCTGCTGTTACCAGGACAGGAAGCCCCTTCCCATGGCTTGCTGGCCTCCAGGCTTCCGCTGGGGGGGGGGGGGGGGGGTCCCCCAGGCCTCGAGGGAGGGAGGCATCACAGTTCCAACAGGAGCTTGCTCTGGTTTTGGACGTCTTCCAGGCGGTGGTGAGCGGTGCTGTGCCGTTTTTCTTGGGGACAGCCGCCCAGTCCTGCAGTAGCTCCGACGGGTTTCTACACTGTCTCCGTGGGGACAGCGCGCTCGGTCAGCACCCAGAGGTGAGGCCCGGCAGCGTGGCCTTGAGGGGCAGCCTCCCAGCTTGCAGCCTCTCCCCTGCTGGCCTCTGCCTCGCCCCTGCTGTGGGGCCTGCCCCAGGGTCCCCGAGGGCTCTCCCTCCAGGCAGCTCGCTGCCTTTGGTCTAGTTAGCACTTGTCCACTCTGTTTCCCTGCTCCGATCCTGGTGTGTTTTCTGTCTCCGGGCTGCAGCCTAATTCTGCCAAGAAGCATGGGAGTAACTTGGGGCCCCCACTGTGCGGCGCCCCACTCCCGTCCCCCCGTCCTCATCCTGACAAGCCTCCAGGAGGGACACCAGGAGACCACCCCCCAGCCTCTGGAAGCTTCTGCTGCTACAGCAAGGGAGCCTGTGGGATTAGGCTGAGCTAATGAAGGAGAAACCCTTGAGCAAGGTAAAAAGCAACTGATAACCTTCAAGAGATTATGGCAGAACCCAATAAAACACCATTCATTACCACTTATTTTGAGATGAACTGGGTGTCCCATCACCACTGCAGAGGAAAGACAGGTCACAAACCAGTCTATGCGCGACAGACCGCGAGCAGTCTCAGTGTCAGCACTTACTTGCACTGGAACTTGGGCAAATCCCCTGACGCATAAAAACCTGACTGTCCTTGTCAGTAAGATTGAAAGATAAAGACACCCCGCCTGACGAGCTCACAGAACCCCTCTGGGGTCAACTGGTGAGCGCCAGACTGTTACTTTCCAACAGGAGAAACACACCGATGCCACTGCGCTATCTCAGCCTCTCGTCACAGCCCGAGCCACGACAGCCAGCACCTCACTGTCACCACGCTTGCGGTCAAGGTGAGAGATGGCTACCGAGCAGCCAGAGACCCTCACAGGGACACACACGGGTCTTGACAAAGGAGCGAAGGCAGCGGTGTCGACACACAGCGCCAGAACCCTGGGACGTCCGCGTGCAGAAAAATGAACGTGGACACAGACCTTCCAGCCTTCGCAGCAATCAACCCCAATGCGGTCATTCACCTAAATGGGAAATAAAAAACTACAAAAGTCGAAGACGACACAGGAGAAAAGCTAGAGGACTTGGGGTTGGTGGGGCCTGTTCAGAGACAGCACTGAAGGCACAATCCGTGAGCGAGAGCCGATCAGCTGGACTGCGTCGAAATGGAAAGGTCCTGCTCTGGGAAAGACCACGCCAAGAGAACGAGACCAGCCTCAGGCTGCAAACACAAGGCAGGGGAGCATGGAGAAGGTGGTCAGCGTCTTAGTCACCAAGGAAACGCAAATCAAAGTAACAGCGCGACCCCCACTGCACACCCGCCCGAACAGCCAAATCCAGGACTCTGCCCCCCCCCAAACACACACACACACACACGTGGCGAGGACACAGAGCGACAGGAGCTGCCGGTCACAGCTGGCGGGAACTCAGAATCGCGGTGCAGCCGCTTCGGGAGATCGGCGGCGGTTTCTCATGGAAGTAAACATCCGCCACCGGCTCCCGCAATCGCGCTGCTTGGCGTTTACCCAAAGGAGCTGACGACTTATGTCCACACCAAAAGCTGAGCTCGGGTGTGAACAGCATCTTTATTCATAATCACCAAAACCCAGGAGTAACTAACGTGGCCTTAGCAGGTGACGGACGAATAAACTGCAGTCCCTCCAGACGGCGGAATATTACCTGGCGTTAGAAAGAGACGGGCCATCAAGCGGGCAAGAGACCCGGAGGAAGTGTGGACGCGCACGACTGAGGGCAAGCGGCCAGTCTGAAAAGGCTGCACGCCGTGTGGCCGACCATCCACGGGACATTCCGGAACAGGCAGGACGGCGGGGACGGTAAGATCAGCGGTGGCGGGGGGCTGGGGGCCGGGGAGGGCAGAACAGGTCGGAGCCCAGGGGTGTTGAGGGCAGTGGGCCGCGCCGGGCGAGACCATAACGGCGGGTCTGCCTGCCATCACACGCCGTAATGGTATGGACCGCGAAGGAAAACTACACGCCGAGAGGGACCTTGACGTGAACTGGGGACTCTGGGTGATGACGCGGGGGTGGAGGTCCGTCAGTCATAACGAGGCAGCTCTCTGGTGGGGGTGCTCACAGTGGGGGAGGCTGTGCACGTGTCAGGGCGGAGGGTATGTGGGAAGTGTCAGCACTTTCTCAATTTTTATCGTAAGACTAAAACTGCTCTAACAACATTAAATCTTAGAAAAAAAAAAAAGCCCACGGTTTGAATCATGACCCTGCTTCGTCCTATTAAACCTTAAACCTTAGAGAAGTCACTTAGCCCCTCGAGGACAAGTCACCTCACTTGCGGAACGGGGGCCACAGCACCCCTGCCCCACGGGTTCCCCGAGGTCAGAGCTGCACTGGGAGCGGTCTGAGATGGCGGGGAGCTCCACCATGCGGTAGACAGGCCTTCACCAGACGAAGGGCGGCGAGGGGGCACCCGGTCCACAGAGAGCCGCACAAATCCCATTTCTTTCCACCCGTGTGGTCAGGCGCTGACACACCAGCAGTGGAGCTGGAGAGTGCATGACGGCAGGACACCAGTGAACACGCAGGTGCCTCCGAGTGCTGACGTGTCTGATTTCGGGAAACGGTTGCCACCTTCCGGGCCTTCGCTTCCCAGCTCACCCCAGCTGACAGGAGGCTCGGGGGGGGGGGGGCGGGGGAGAAGCCCACACCACAGCCGGCTCGGCGGGGGCAGGTGGGAAGGAGCCGGGCGGGGGCGGCCGCGCCCCGAGAACACGGGCCTCGTGCGGTTCAGCCCCAGGGCGGCGGGGGGACGAGGGATGGGGTGTGCTTGTGGCAGAACCGCAAGCGCCCGCAGTTTAGAAACAGGAGTCGAAAACCCACACGATCACAACTGTTTATAAAAACAAACATCCATCCTTAGATACGTGGAAATGTGGCCATGGCCTCCTGGAGGAGGTAAAGTTGGGGGGGAGTCTGTCCGTTCCTCCCGCTTTCTATTGTCTTTAACGTGTTTTAGGGTGAAAACTACGACACGGGAAGGGTGTGATTGCCAACAGAATATTCGCCAAGCCGCCCCTCCCCTTTCCTCTGTCCGGGACCCTGCCCTCACCAGCCAGCCGCCCGCCCTCGGAGGGACTCGTTGTGACATTTTCCACTGTTGAGAACCAGGACGCGGACCCAAGCAGAAAAGGAATTCTACAATCACGAAAGTCCTCCGAGGAAAGTGCCTTGGAAACACCGCTCCACGGCTACAGCGACCGCCACACGGTGGCTCGTCCTGTCCCACCAGTGCCGCTGGCCACCCCCCTGCTGAGCAAAGTCCCGCGCACGCTGACTCCTGCCCTCGTGCTCCACACCGAGCTCCCGGGGGGGGGAAGGCAGAGGGCCCCAAAGGGACACAGGCACGTTCGGGGCAGTGCTGGCCCCGGCGGGTCCCCCTGATGCTCATCTGTGGCGAGCAGGGAGCCGAGCCACCAGCCCACCGCTGAGTTCAGCTGCCACTTTTTTCACAGCAGGATTTTCCAGATGAAGGACACAGAGCAAGGATCCACACCCTGGGAAGCTCCCTGTCCTGAAGTCAACAGTCTCTGTGCTTCAAGAATTTTCTCACCTCAGGGGCGCCTGGGTGGCTCAGTCAGTTAAGCATGTGGCTTCCGCTCAGGTCATGATCTCGCAGTTTATGAGTTCAAGCCCCACATCGGGCCTGCTGCTGTCAGCGCAGATCCCGCTTCAGATCCTCTGTCCCCCTCTCTCTGCCCTTCCCTCGTTTACGCTCTCTCTCTCAAAAAAATAAATAAGTGAATAAAACATTAACACCCCAAAAAAAACAAAACAAAACAAAACTGTGTTCTCACCTCAAAAGGGCGTGCTGCCCGAGCCCACAGACGACATGGGCTCCGAAGGGGCCAGGGACAGGACCGTCCTAGGCACCGGCAGCAGGAAAGGGCCCGAAGGAAGGAGGGCCTCAGCCCAGGCTGCGTCACCCGCCCCCGCCCAGGTGTCCGGCCCAGGACCCGAGAGAGGGGGCAGCACCCAGAGGGCTCCCCGGCAGGACAGAGCCTGCAGCACGTGACCAAACACACCCCGTGGTGGCGACAGGGGCACAGGGCAGCCCGACGGAGCCGGGACCGGAGACTCGGCCGTTAACACGCTCCGCTCCACCAGGGACAGACCGTGTCACGAAATCAAGCTCACTTGTGTAGAGCGCGCCTAGTGGGCTTACCTTTTTGTCCTCCTTAGTCTTTCTAACTTGTCGATGGGGCCCGAAAAGGTTCTGCACCCCAAAAGCCTTCCTGGACCAGTCCCTCTTCTGGGTGCTCAGCGGGGCCTGTGCCAAGCTGCCCTCCACCCGGTAGCGGTCTGCGGGAATCTTGCTCATGGGCGGGGGCAGCGTGCCGCAGTTCACACTGGACCGCCCGTCGGTGGAGTCCGTGTACGACTCCTGGTCACTGGCGTGTCCGCACGGCCACTCCTGCAGGACGTGGACCGGAAGCCACCGCTGGCCATGGCCCGCGGCGCCCCTCTTGGAAGGGGGGACCGAGCTCCGCGAGGAGGCCGGGGGCAGCTCCACGTGAGCAGCGGGCCCTAGGTGCTTACCGAAGTCCCGGCACCTGTCCGCCTGCGGGGCGGCCTCGAACGGGGGGCCCCCCTCGGGGTCGAGGCAGAAGGCCCCGCTCCAGGGGGCGCCCCGGGGCTGGGAGCCCCTCCCGCCCGCGCCCTCCCAGCCGCCGCCGCCGCCGCCGCCGGGGCCGTGCCTGCTGGAGCCGGCACCCAGGTCGACCACCAGCACTCGGCTGCTCCTTTCCTCCTGGTGGAAGTTGCCGATGCCGCTGTCGCTGTTGCTGCTGGTGCTGGCGTTCTGGTGGGCGTCCGCGTCCCCGTCGGCAAAGGCCCGGGCCCGCACGCCCTCGATCAGCTCGCCCATGTCTCTGTACAGGACGGAGATGAACTGGAGGGCCGGCAGGCAGGATGCGGGGAACTCGAGGCAGCCGCCGGTGTCGGGGTCGGCCGTGCACTCCAGCCCAAACCGCCGAGCGATGCCCTGGTGGATCCTGTGATTGAACAGGTCTGGATCCACCATGAACACGTGGCAGGAAGTCCGCAAGGCGCCCTCGTCCTCGTGCGCCAGGCTCCCGTCGTCGCTCGTCTGCATGGTCACGAGCCCGAAGAGCCGCCGGTCGTCGGGGCACACGGCGCTGAAGGCCAGCTTCTCGGCCGGGTACTCGGCCAGGACGGCAGCCTGGTCGGTGCAGAGCCGCACGCGGTCGTGCAGGACCCTCATGGTCACCAGGGAGTGGATCTTCTGCTCCGCCCGCAGGCGCCGCAGGCAGCCACGGATGGCCTGTAAGCTGTCGGACTCCAGGTTGCAGCTCGTGGAAGGAAGTTCGATGGACCCCAAGTAGCCCACGACCATGGCCACGTTTAAAATACTCGCATCTAACGCAAAATCTTCGTGATTCTCGGGGCCGATACTGAAAACGGAATCGTCGTTCATAACTTTTGATATTTCCTCCTTAGAAAGCAGGTTGGGATTCGGGTGATTTACGCTTTCACGTCCAAGGTCGAATCGCGCGGCAGCTGACTCCGAAAGGGATCTTTGTTTCAATTTCAAGGGCTCGGAACTGCTTGCACGGAGACTAGGATTTTCAAAGATCATATTGAAAATCCCACCAGACTGCATTTCTTCGACGACTCTCTCGGCTCTGTTTATACCTAAAGCTTTCGAATCGAGTTTGGGCTTGAGCCAGCCTTTTCCTTCGTAAAATCCAACCTCTTCATCGCTGGAACAGGACTCCACGTGGCCGAGGCCCTCGCCAATCACCATGTGCAGGACACCAGAACATTTCCCGATTAATTTCACCACGTCCTCATGGGATGCTTTCTTCACGTTGATTTCGTTGACGGCAAATATCTGGTCTCCGGCCCGGAGGCCCACAAAGTCCGCGGGGCTCCCTCTCAGGACACAGCTGAGCACGCACGGCGCCTGGCCAGAGAGCGTGAAGCCGTACCCTGCCCGTCCTCTGGCCACCTCCACACTCCTCAGGCGAGGGGGCGCCGGCCCGTGAAGCGGACGCTGCACCGCGTCCCCTGCTCTATACATCTCTCCGGGCTTGCGACACCAGGGGCATAGCTCGTTAGTCCAGGGGCCGCGCTCAGGGAATGCCTGAGCCTACTGTAGTGCTTCTTGAAGTGACGCCCTGAGGAAGAGAACAAACGGCCTGTTATTAAACATCCCGTGTTCCCGTTGCTTACCGGTATCTCCTAAACATAAAAATGTAGCCCGTGACAAAAGCCACCACAGGAAGAGTCTCTGGTCACCACATAAATGTGCGAGTGAGAGAGAAGCAGCAGCCTGCACAGGGAACCTTCAGGTCAGCCTAAGAAACTTCCCACGAGCAGACAGCGTGTCTCCCGGAAGGGACGCCTGTCCAACCGTTCAGGGCCGAGGAACACAGGGCGGTGGCAGTGCCGCCTGCCCGGATGAGAAGTCCGAGGGCCGCCGCAGGGGAGGCTCCCAGCTCCTGCGCAGGCCCAGGCACCCCTCCCGACCACCCCGACTGCGTCTTAACCGGAGGGGAGGAGCCAGAGCGAAAGGCAGCGCGGGCCACACACCTGGGTGACCTGGCCGACCCCCTGTTTGATCACAGCCCCTCCGTCACGACCAGTTCTCCCTCAGGGAAGAGTCAGCTTGTGTCTCTCATATCCCACCACCTCCCTCGATTAATTGCCTTCGAACAAGATACCATGTGGGGGAAAATACGTCAGTCTGAAACCACCTCAGTCAACCACAGAGGCCACCGGACAGAACAGGTAAAACAACAAAAAAGGGAATAGGAACCTTCATCCTTCCAGGGGATGACTTCATCATTAAAAGTACTGGTTGTCACAGAAAACACCTGCGTCGGGGTCCCAGGCCCAGCCCAGACCTGGTGCCCCACGAGGAGGACACACAGGACGCGGCACAGTCATGCTCACGGCTGGGATTTGCCCCGGTGAAATCGAAGCACAATCGGCACAGGGTAAAGGGGGGGGAGGGGGCGCAGGGGGGCAGGTCCCGAGGAAGCAGGCGCCAGCTGCCAGCGTCCTCTCCCGGGGCGTCAGGTGGGGCGCGTTGTGACAACACGTGTGGGGTCTCGGCCGCCAGGGGAGCGCATTAGAGACGGAGCTGGAGGACAGAAAGGTTTGCTCCGAGGGGGCGGACGTGGCGACAGAGAACGTGGTGTGCGGGACGTGGGTTTGAATAAAATCATCCTGGGAGGTAAGAGTCATGAGAGAACACCTTATTTCTAAATTGCCATATTACTTAATACCTAAGTGGCGATAAATTAATCATTTAAGTACTATGGACATCTAACTATTCGCTATTCATCACTAGAAACGCGCATATTAAAGTTGGCCAAGAATAGTGTCTTAGGGTCTCTCATTGGGCCTCTTTCTTACAGGCCGAACGGTGCTCCCCCACCAGATGTGCCCAACCCCCGACGCCCCCCTCCAGGAGCCTCCATCCAGGAGCTTATCCTGGATGATCCGGGCAGGCCCCAGGGTCACAGGGTCCTCACCAGAGGGAGGCAGGAGGCTCAGAGTCAGAGAGAGGCGGAGGTCAGAGCAGCAGGCTGTGAAGGTAGAGGAAGGGCCACAGAGCTCACAAACAGAGCGCCTCTAGAAGCCACAAAAGGTGAGGGAACAGACTCTCCCCTGCGGCCCCCAGGACGAAGGGCCCTGCCCGCACTGTGACCGCTGCAGGTGACACTGATTCTGACCTGCCACCCCCAGAACTGAGGGAACGGAGGGAACAGAGTCGTGCTGCGGTCATTGTTTCCGCAGCCACGGAGCCTGCGCTAAGGCAACCAGCCTAGTGCTGGGGGAGGGGGGCGCACAGGTGCAGGGAACAGCATGGGGGGGCGTGACCCCTCCCGGGACAGGGGTCAGCGAGCCCCTCCTGCCCTCCTCGGTCACAGAAGACCTCCCGGCCACCCGTCTGTAATCCCTCCACACGCCAGAGTCGTGGCACTGAGACGCGACACAGGGTGACGGTCCTCTTCGTGGCCTGCCCAGATATTTCTGGTAGACTCGCACTGTCGTGTCCCGCTAACTCCTTCTAATTCATCCAAGTCATGTCTCCGTGCCTGCAGCCACGTTTTAGAAGCACAGCCTACACGTTAACTTTTCCTTAAACCGCATCAGCTCATAGTGAAACGGGCGGAGCAGACAGTGAAATCCAGAAGAAACCACAGGGCACAGTTTCCAACGCCCACGGGCATCTCTGCCATCTGGGCCACGCAGGTGCCTGTTCTGGGACCCTTTCCTCCGCCACGAGATTCTGGGTTAGTGAGTCCAGACGCCTGTTTTGACAAGGTCCCACCCCCACCCCACACACCTTCTGGGTGATTCCGACAGGTGGCAACACCTGGGTGGGCTGCTGTGGGCTGAAGGCGTGTCCCCACTTCACAGGGCGTTGGAATGCTACCCCCTGGTGTCCTCGTCAAAGAGGAGAGAGGGACCTCGCCCCTCCCCCCGCGGTCCCTGCTCTCCGCCCCGTTAACGACAGGAGAAGGTGACCATCCGGAACCAGGAAGTGTCCCCGCCACACACTGGCTCTGTGAGCACCTGGCCCTTGGTGACAAACAGGCTGTGGTTTAAGCTGCTCCGCACGCAGTGTCCGGCAGCAGCCCGAGCGGACAAAGACACCGTCCAGTCCGGCCTCCTCCTTGCACAGAAAAGGTGATCGAGGCCAGAAAGGAGCGACAGCTTCCCAGCAGCACAGACAGTAGGACACACGGTCCCCTTCTCACTGCGCCCACTACCAGGATCGGTCCCTCCGAGTGACAATGTCACTCCTTTACCGACTCATCCCTCAGACTGGCGGGACCTAGAAGTAAACACACACCGGCTGCCCAGATGCTTCCCCTCCTGCCCCCCGAGGTTGAGGTCGGGATACAACGGTCCCATGTGTGCCCAGCCCGGGCCGGCAGCGTCCCAGACCCAGAAGCCACAGACGGGCCGGGCCCTGAGCAGCCCACAGGCCCCAAGGAGGGAGGCGCAGGAAGAGGCAGGCAGTCCCCAGACTGTGCTGTGTGCTCGGTGCCCGCAGGAGGACCAGCAGTCCCTTGCCCCACGGCTCGGTCCCCATCCCTCCCCGTGCAGGGGGGCGTTTTGTGAGGACGGCACCCCGGCTCACCACGACTGCGCCACCAGAGTCACATTCGCGGTGCGACAGGCACTGAGCTGAGCACGGGGCGGAAAGGCCAAAGCCACACAGCACAGCACCCAGGGTGCGCGGCGGCGGCCGGACGGAGACCGGGCACTACCGGGCGGGAGGAGCGGGGAGCTCCGGCACAGCGCCGGGCGCGGAGGAAGCGCTCGCGGTGGGGGGGCATTCCAGGGCTGTTCTCGGGACTTTACACGTAGCAACACGCGTGTCCGCAAGCCACGGCGCCCTGACGTGGGTACGACTGTTCCCATTTTGCAGACGAGCAAATGGACACACGGAAAAGCCGAGTAACCTCCTACGGCTGCACAGCTAGTGAGCGTCACCGGTGGATTTGAACCCAGCTCTCTCCGTCTCCACACAGAGGGGTCCCTGGAAGAGGCAGAGGCAGCCCTGGGGCTGGGACGGCAGGCGCTCCCCAGACGCACAGCCCCTCCAACGCCCGATCCCTCCGCGGCGGGAGCCTGGCGGCACCGCGCCACGCCCTCCGACTGGGACCCGCGGGCCAGCAGACCCCGCCCCTCGTACCCTCCCCCTAAGCCACCTCCAGCCACCGAACACCCACCAGGCGCCACCTCCCCGCAACGTGCACGGGGACCCGACGCACCCCCCGCGCAGTCACACACCCCAGGACGCACGCTGACCGTCCCTGCATCCCGGCCTCACCCAGTCTGGTCCATCCTCGCGGCCCACCGCCTGACCTCCGGAAAGCTCCCTAGAACCCAGGACACGCTCCCCGCCCTCCCCAAAACCTACACCAACCTGGGTGGGATCCGCCCTCCCCGGCACGGCAGGTCCCCAAAACGCCCGAGGATGAGCTGGTGGGGTCCTGGCTCACCAAGACCCCTCCGGGCCGTTAGCAGGCACCACCAACCAACGTCCCCGCTGACCTTTCACCCGTAAAGGACCCTTCCCGTTGCCCTTGACCTGACCCACCACCCACCCGATGCCTGCGCACAGCGGGGGCTCCAGCGGGACTGTGGGTGGGACCTGGGCAAGGCCAGGATTGCCACGTGAGGGAACAGGCCCGGCCCTTCCTTGGAAGACCCCCCCGGCCCAGGGACATGGGCACTGGGAGGCGCCCGCGGACTCCCCGGCTGCACACCTTCGGCTCAGGGAGCTCCTCCAAGTGACCCGAGGGCACAGCACACGCAGCAGGGACCCGAGGGCAGTCTCGGCCCCCACCTGCTGTGCCCCACAAAATGGTGCCACCAGCTCCATGCCCCTGTCCCTCCTCCCTCCAGGACCCCTTTCCTCTCTAGCTTCAAAGTCCTCCTCTCGTGGGTGACCCTAAGGCCTAACAGCTGAGAGCCCTCCCCGCAGCTACGACCCATTTCCCACACTCGGCCACCCGCCACCTCACTCTGCGCGACAAACACACCTTTTGCTAGAAGCACCTCTTCCTCCTCCCCCACATCCCCCTCCCC